TTTGACCATTCATTGTTCATGAAACAAAAGACACAAGCTTTTTACCTCTGTTCTCAACCGACTCAACTCGCAATGTCTCAGACACCAATTGCTTCATCTACTGCTAAATTGGGACCATCACCCTCATTATGACTAAAGGTTTGAAAAGTAAACTCATGTCTAGGTGACCCAATGGGTAGCGTTTAAACAATCATCTGTTAAATAAACTTTTATTTTGTTTAACACACATTCATGGGAGGTGTGGGGAGAGAGAAAGGGAGAGTGAGTGGGAACAAGAGAGTGCACAGATACAGGATTGAGATAAATTAAAAACTAACACTCTTGGCACCAGCAGTCAGGAAATCAAAAAGCGTATCACGATGGGAAAGTCTGCTGTTAGGGACCTCTCTAAGGTACTCAGGAGCAACAGTGTCTCTCTGGAGACTAAGGTGCGCCTGATACAGGCCATGGTATTTGCAATCGCTTGTTATACATCAGAGAGTTGGACAATGACTAGGGAGGACAGAAGGAGAGTGGATGCTTTTGAGCTGTGGTGCTGGAGAAGGGTACTGAATGTACCATGGACTGCCAGGAAAACAAACAAATTCATCTTGGAGAGGATTAAACCAAGCTACTCCTTGGAGGCAAGGATTCTGGGGCTTCGTCTGACATACTTTGGACATGTTGCCAGGAGGGACGGGTCCTCGGAGAGGGACATCATGCTTGGGAGGGTGGAGGGACAGCGCAGGAGGGGAAGACCCTCTATGAGATGGATTGATTCGGTGACTGGGGTAATCGGGATGGGTGTGTCAGAGGAGGTGCGGTTGGCGCAGAATAGAGCAGGGTTGAGGGCTGTTGTGCATAGGGTCACTATGAGTGGGAAACGACTCGACGGCACATAACAACAACAAGAAGAATAAAATTTTGCTATATCCTCTCTCTCTGTATGGATCTATATATATATGGAGATCTCTCTCTCTTTCTATCTCTGTCTCTAATGGATCTATATATAATGGATCAGGGCACACACAAGGAAACTGCCTTTCAACCCATACTCTGCTCACAGTAGATCTCACCACGAAGATTTCAACTTTCATATCAGTTCTCATTAAGGGAATGTCTACATTATCATTGCCAGACCAGGTAATCATGGGCAACCAAGCTGACACAAAACCTTCAGGAGCACATCAGGGACTAAGGAAATGTGATATATAATACAGTATTCATGTTTATAGATTACGTGATCAAGGAAAAGGTCCTGAAAAATCTAGGTTCATGAACAATGGAGAATGGGATACACTATTGCTAAGTGTCAGTGAGTCACCTACAATGTGTAGCAACCCTATGGTCAATGAATCTGACCCTTGCCCTGTCCTGGGCAGTCCTCATCATCTGATCCACTCATTACAGTCACTGTGCCCATCCAGCTTGTTGAGGGTCTTCTTATTCTCTTTCTCTGATATGTCACGTTTCCAAGCATGATGTCTATTTCCAAGGACGCCTCTCCCTCTTAACAACATACCCAAAGTATTTGAGAAGGTTTCACCATCCTTGCCTCTAAGAAGCACCCTAGTTGCACTTTCTCAGAGAAGCATCTGTTTGGTTTTTTGGAGTCTGTTCAGTACTGTGATCCAGGCCATGGTCTTTGCAATTACTTGCTATGCATCAGCGAGCTGTACTATGACTAAGGATGAGAGAAAGATTTATGCCTTTGAGCTGTGGTGCTGCAGAAGAGTATCAATCATTCTGTGGACTGTCAAGAGAACAAGTTTGACTTGAAATAGTGTGTGTGTGTAAACATTGTATATACATACAATATATACATTGTGAATATATGTAATAATATAATATAATATTTTATATACACACACACACACACACACACACACACACATATATATGATGGAGAGGCGATTGGAACTGTCAACAGCTTCATCTTGCTTGGATCTACAATTAACACCCTTGGTATGAGCAGTCAGGAAATAATGAGACACATTGCACTGGTAGGGACATTTCCAAATATTGAAGAGTAGTGATATCAGTTTGAGGACTACGGTGTGTCTGATTCAGGCCATAGTCTTTCCAATTACTAGCTATGCATCTGGATAATGAATAAGGTTGACAGAAAAAAAATTGACACCTTTAAGCTGTGGTGTTGGAGAAGAACACTGAACATTCCATGGACGGCCAAGAGAACAGATATGTCTTGGAGAGCACGCAGCTGGAGTGCTCTTTGGAGGCAAGAATGATACGGCTTCGCCTCACATACTTTGGACATGTTGCTAGGAGGTGCTATTCCTTGGAAAAGGACATGATGTTGGCAAGTGTGGAAGGTCATCCAAGGAGAGGAAGACAGTCAACCAGGTGGACTGACTGCTACAATGGACTGTTGTGTGTCAGAAAGTGTAAGGATGGTGCAGGACAGAACTAGGTTCAGATCTTTTGTTAGTAAATGAGTCATACTTGACTTGATGGCAGCTAATTACAACAACAACAACTATCTATCCATCCATCCATGTGAATATATATATATATACACACGACACACACCCCTATCTATCTCACATGAAGCTCTGCTAGCCCGGTGGATAAGAAGTTGTGCTATCAACTCAAAGGCTGTTGGATTGAGCTCACCCGCTGTTCTGAGGGAGAAAGATGGATAATCTCCTCCTAGACTACTCAGACTCTGAACACTCTGGGCTTTGTACACATGTGACAGTGCATAACAATAACATGTAGCTATATTGTCCTTGCCTTGGAGTTGGAACTGACTCGCACCTGATGCTCCATTACATTTCTAATGCTGTAAATTGTACAGGAGGAGATAACTCGGCTTTCTTCTGTGGAGTCACTGGTGGATCCAAGTATCTGATACTTTCTATGCATCTGAGAGCTGGACATTGAATAAAGATGTCAGAAGAATTGATGCCTTTGAGTTTTGGTACTCAATAAAAAAGGCTAAATATCCCATAGACTGGCAAGAGAACAAACCAAAGTGTCTTGGATAAGGTGCATCCGGGGTTCCCCCTAGGGGGAAGAATGATGAAACTTTGTCTCACATACTTTGGGCATGTTAGGAGGGGCTGATCCTTGGAAAAGGACATCACGCTTGGAATAGTGGAAGGCTGGCCAAGAAGGGGAAGACCCTCAATGAGATGGACTGACGTGGTGACTTTAACAATGACCTTGAGCATCTTTGAGGCAATGAGGAGGGCGCAGGATAGAGCAACATCTGAACTGTTGTTCATAGTAATTGCCAACTATCTCTAGTGACCATGCATATGTTCATATGAATTTGCTGTGTGTACCATCGAGTTGGAACACACACATAAGTGAACATACATATATATGTATTATGGGTTGCATCTTAACATCAAAAAAACCAAGATACTCACCACCAATCCGCTCGACAGTATCATGACAGATGGAGAAAGGATTGAGGTTGTTAACAATTTCATCTTCCTCAGATCCACAATCAACACTCTCGGCACTAGCAGCCAGGAAATCAAAAGATAACTTGCTCTGGGAGACTCTGCTATCAGGGACTTCTACAGAGTGCTAAAAAGTGACGATGTCAGTCTAGAGACTAAGGTGTGCCTGATCTAGGCCATGGTTTTCTCAATTGCTTTCTTGCATTTTGAGATCTAGACAATGAGTAAGGATGACAGAAGAATTGATGTCTTTGAGTTTTGGTGCTGGAGAAGAGTAATGAACATACCATGTAATGACAAGAGAACAAAAAGGTCTGTTTTGGAGAGAGTGAAACCAGGTTTCCTTGGAGGCAAGTATTTTCAAACTCTGTCTCACACACTTTGGGCATGTTGCCAGGAGGGACCAGTCCATGAAGAAAGACAATCATGCTTGAAAAGGTGGAGGGTAGGCGCAGGAGAAAGTCCTCAACCAGATGGATTTAATCAGTGGCTGCAGCAAAGGGCTAGAGTATGTTAGCTGATCTGAGGATGGCACAGGATTGGCAGGGTTCAAATCTGTTCTTCACAGGTCGCTAGGAGTTGTGCTTGACTTGGCAACACTTAATAACAGTTAACATACATATAAAAAGACCCTCAAAGACACAGATTGGCACAATGACTGCAACAGTGGACTCAAATACAGCACGACTTGCACCTGAGGATGGCGCAGCACCCAGCATTGCTTCGTCCTCTTGTACACAGAGTCATTATAAGAAGAAACTGACTCCACATCATCTAACTACAAGTCTCATTTAAAAATCCCCAAAGGTCCTGCTGCCCGGAGCTCCTTCCAACAGAGATTGCAAGCAGAAGCGATGCTCTTTACACAGCCTAATCCTGACCTCGCAGACTGACTTTCAGTCGCGAACTCGGCACACCCACCCTCTTTTATTAAATGTAGTCTTGTCGCTATCTAATTGGCTGACCGTCTCAGGCTCCCTTTCTTTAGTGGCGCCGCGTCCCGTCCATCATTCCAGACATAAGCACGCCATTGGCCCGCTGCTCAATAAGCCCGGCAGGGGCCGCGCTCCGGAAGGAGGAGTTTCCCGGTGACGTCAAAAGCGCGCCCTGCCCACATTCCAAAGCCGGGGCGGAGAATTCCTGTGGCCCCCACAGCTGTGGGCGGGACAGTGTGGACAGCGAGACTTCTGATTGGGACCAGCGGTTGAGGAGGGCCTCCGGTTGGTCCGTGGGCTGGAAAGAGGCGGGGTCGGAGGCTGGGTCCGAGAGCGCCGCGGAGGCGCTGCGGGGCGTCTCGAAGTTTGTGCTGGGAGCGCGCGGGCCGCGGGCGGTGTCCCGGGATGCGAGCGAGTGTCCTGCGGGAGCTCTGGATGCGCGCCCTGCCCTGACTCCGCAGCTGCCGGCCCTCGCTGCACCGCCCGACTCCCCAGGACCCGCCGGTGTCCGCGGACGCGGCCGGGGACCCCGGGCGGAGGAGCCGACGGGCCTGCGCGCGCACGAGCCTCCGCGCGTGCACGAGCCTCCGCGCGCGCGCACTCCCCCGCTCGCGCTCTGCCCTGCGCGCGTCGTTGCCTCGCGCACCTGGCCGGCATGGAGGTGCTGGAGAGCGGGGAGCAGGGCGCCCTGCAGTGGGACCGCAAGCTGAGCGAGCTGTCGGAGCCCGGAGACAGCGACGCGCTGCTGTGCCCCACGGTGAGCACCGATCGGCGGGGACAGCGGGGGACGGGCGCCGGCGGGGCCTGGGGCGTGCCCAGGTGCGTGCCCAGGTGCGTGCCCCGGTGCGGGGCTGCCCAGGTACCGGCGGCTGCCCGCCCCGTGGGGCTTCCCAGTATAGCAGCGAGCTTGCACGTCCCTCCAGGAACCTTGGCAGCCTCCGCACTTGCACTTAATAGTATCATTTCCATGCTGACTAGCGGACCGCGGGGAGGGCCCTTATTGTTTCAAACAACAACAGAATTACGTTTGACTACCGGTTGCCGATTCTTACCAGAGCGACACACCCTTTCTTTCGCAGATTCGAACTGCTGGCCTTTGAGTTCGCATCCTACCACTTTAACCAAGTGCACCAGCAGGGCTTCTCGTGTTTTGCTCCGTGGTAAACTTGTGCCTTGCAGAAGTGTAGAGTGCTTATGGGTAAAAAAGAAATAAAATAAAATATACAGCCTTCTTGTCTGAGAAGTTAAGACCTAGGGATTAGAAGGCACTGTTTTTTCTGTACACAATGCAGTCCCCCTCCAGAGCCCAGATTTCGAGAGAGGGAGCCACCCTTAAGTTCAGCAGACTGTTCACCTGCCACTCACGTGCAAAAACGTGTGCGAACAACTCAGGAGCCGCTGTTTGGAGAATGATACCTTCCCCTGCTCTCTACTCTGGGGGGAGGTCTGGCTTCTACATTTTGGCATCCTGTCTGTCTGTTGAAAACCTGCTGGAGGATCCACTAGGAGTGAATTCCAACACTAGGATAGTAATGGAGGTTTTATTTGTGTTTTAAAAGTTCTCCTCTTTATGTGTGTTTGGATAGGGCCTCGGCCTTCGAAGGAGGCCTGCTTGCTTTGGCGTTGTTAACGGTTCAGTCCAGAAGTCGGCCTCCCCCCTGCGCTCAGTCTGTCTGGAAAATCTGATCAGTTGTGTATTTCACAAGTGCGTGGGGAGCAGACAGCTCTACAGTGGCTCTGTGGTCTGCTTCAGAGGCAATGCACGCCTTATTTGCTATTGAACGTACAATATGTCTGCATTAAATAAACATCTAGATACATGTATGTAATGAAATAATGTGACAGTCAGCTTTGCTTCCTACATTAACCTAAAAAACCAGGCTCACTGCTGCCACTGTGCTGATTCTGACCTACTCTGACTTACTCATAGTGGCCGGTAGCAGAGGGTGGAGCTGCCCAGGGGTGTCCAGGGCCTGTAAATCTCTGTGGAAACAGGCTGCCTCGTCTTCTGTGCAGTGACTGGTGGGCTCACCCCACCGGCCTTTGGATCAGTAGCTTGATGCCTTACCCGCCGCACCACCACAAGGCTGCCCTCTCTTAAAGCACAGAGAAAGAGCACAGTGTGGGGTTACAGCCCTGTTGTGGGGGCAGTGCCAGGATATTTGAAACTTTTGCAGGGTGGCCTTTGCCTCTGGCTGCCGTTATTTTGGGAAAAGGGACGCGGGAGGCCTCTCTTCTGATTCCCACTGGCCTTGTGGCGGCTGCAGACAGGAAGAGAAGAGGTGGGAGCCTGTGAAGGATGCCAGAGCCAGGTGTGCATAATGGCAGCTCTGGGGCCAGATACGTGGGGGGTGGGAGGCAGATGTGTGGTGAGGTGGAGCAAGAACCAGGTGTGGCTGTGGGGGGGGGGGCAGAGCTAATTTTGTGGTGAAGTGGGGGAAGTGGCAGGAGCTATTTGTAGGGAGGTGGGGGGGGATCCAGATGTGTGGCGTGGTGGGACAGAAGTCTCCTGTGTAATAGGGTCCCAGTCAGGAGCCAGATGTGCCGTGAGGTTCTAGGGAGGAGCCCATGTGGCTGTCTTTGGTTTGGGGGCCCAGATGGCATTGGCGGAGGACTCGAGTAGCCCTCAGCTATCTTCTGAGGAGTGGGCACTTCACGTGTTTCTCTGACATGGCTCCCTTGTAACCATCTGTAGAGGGCCGAGTCTTCTCGAAGATGCCTCGAGCTGCAGCTGCCACAAATCCCATCCCCAATCCCTGTGCCTGTTCTTGGGTCCCGGGGCTCCCATTGGCGCCAGCACGGAGAGTCCTGAGCTGACCCCCAGGGCTCTTGGTCTGCGGGCAGAATGGGCTGGACCCATTCACACCTGCAGCCTTTTCTGGGGTGGGTTTTGGGGTATTTTTGTGTGAACAGTTTCAAGGATGGAGACTTTGCATTTGTTTTGATGTCAAGGGCTTGGCTTTCCATGCCATTGTGATGAAATAGTGATGTGTGGGTTGTTTTTCTTCTAATCCCATTTAAAACAAGCCCAAAATGACTCTCTGACTTTTCCTATGGGACATGTCTTCTCTCAGGACAGCCCAGCTGTGTGTGAGATGCAGCTGCTTCAATAAACTGTGTGCCCGCCCACTGAAGCTGCAGACTAGATGAAGACCGACCCGCGGACGTCTTCTTGAGGGGACTCCTTGGGAGCCCGCAGGACAAAGGAGGAGAATGGCCCTTTCGAGTTCCCCAGCTGTTCTTATGGGCGCTGGCAGCCTCTTTGCTCTCACCCTGGGTGCCAGTGGGTTCAAACCAGTGTGGAAGGAGGTGGTGATTCTGCAGCACAGACATTATCTTCTTTCCAAACTGAAGGGGGTTTGATAGAGCCCTGAAAATAGATGACATTTTCTCACCTGCCTGTGAACTGGGTTGGGCTTCTGTGGACAAGCTAGTTATGAATGTTGACCCTCTGCAGTGAGGGGCCTCTCATCACGGTCCTGTGATGAGAAAGATGGTGAGATTCTGCATACGTCCCATTGTTCATCTATTCGTTCCACAAATACTTGCTGGACGTCTCCACCTGCTAAGGACTGTGCTAACCACATAGGAAGCATCACGAACAAAGTGGACAGTCCTCACCTGGAGAAGCTTGCCTCTTTGTGTGTGTGTGTGTGTGTGTGTGTGTAGGGAGAGAAATGAGGAATGATAGGTAAGGAGCCCAGGTTGTGCAGTGCACTGTATGTTGTGCCACTAACTGAAAAGTTGGCAGTTCAAATCCACCAGCCTCTTAGGAGAAGGATGGGCAGTTTCCTCCTGTAAAGATTTACTGCCTCAGAAACCTGATAAGTCACCAGAGTTGAACTTCCTGGACACAGTAGAGTGGAGGTACCTGTGGTTATAACCCTGCTTGGGGTGGGTTTTCTGTTAAGGAAGCAGTTTTAGTATTGTTGTTGTGTATTGTCGAGTCAGAACGGACTCTTTGCTGACCCTCCAGCAGGCTTTCAGAGGCTGTGAATTGCTTGGGAGGAGACGGACTGCCCATCTTTCTCCTGTGGAGCTCCTGGTGGATTCGAACCACAGGTCTTTGAGTTGACAGTGCAGCCACTGCTGTGGAGTTGTTTCCACTCTTGGCCACGCTGCGTCCGATTTCTCCAGCTGTAAATCTTGACAGGAAAAGATTGGACGCATCCTTCTCCCTTGGAGCGGCTGGTGGATTTGAACCTTGGAGCGGCTAGTGGACTTTTCAGGTCACAGCGTCCCCCATACTGCGTGACACCACCAGGGCTCCTGGTATGAGTGTGCCCTGATTCAGTTTCTTTAGAGATATGAGAGCAGATTCGGCAAGCTGCACAAAAGCAGAGATGGAGGAAGGTGGATGCAGGGCCACGCAGGGTCTCCAAGGAGCAAGGACCTCCCCCAAGAGCCGGTGCGAGCCTTCACCCAGGGCTGGTGCCGCCTTCTGACCTGGGAGACAGTGCGTGTCTGCTGGTTGAAGCCGTCCACTTGTGCTGTTTCCTTGCCAGCAGCAGTAGAGAACTAGACAGCACACTAAAGAAGTAAATTATACAGGACGTGCAGCAGTGGGGGGGGGGCGGGGGACAGACACCGCAGGTGGAGGGAGCGCCAAGCAGCGCCTTGAATAATGTGCTCACGGGGTGCTTCTCGTGGAAAGTGGCTCTTAGTGGAGACATGAAGGAGGTGGAGTTGTTGACTCTGCAGACGAACAGCCAGCTCAGAGGCCCCACAGTGGAAGTGGGTCTGGTGTGAGCTGATGGTAACATCAGTTAGTTAATGGCCAAGTATGCTGGAGGTTCACATTCCCCCGTGGACACCTCGGAGAAAAGTTCTGAGCATTCACCTCTTAAAAAATCAGCGCTGCTCAGGTGGATGTGGTCAGATGTAGCTGGGGCCACCGGTGAGCCAGTGTGACGCAGTCTTGGTCAGCCCAGCCTAGTAAATGCAGGTGGCTTCCGAGAGGCTTGCCTGTCTGTGGACTGGAGTGAATCTGTCCAGCTTTGTGGATGGCACACTATACCGGGAGCAGGGAGCCCAGGGAGGGTGAGGCTGGGCTGTAAGTTGGGGAAGGGATGAGGATGATAAAGTTGTTATTAGAGTTGGTTCTTTACTAAGCCTCCCGTCCTCACGGTCATCCCTGTGTGCTGCGGTGCAGTCCTCTGTCAGTCCGTCTTGCTGTGAGTCTCTCTCTCATTGTTCACCCTTTGCCTTACGTGACGATCTTCTCCAGGAACTGGCCCCTCCTGATAACATGTCCAAAGTACATGAACGAAGTCTCACCGTTGTCACTTCTGAGAAGCGTTCAGGCTGCACTTCGTCCGCGATGCCGTTTCTAATACTCCTCAACATAGACCCTCCGTTCTTCTCTGCTCTTGCTTATTTATTGTCCGGCTTTCACATGCTTGTTGTTGAGTGTCATCAAGTTGGAACTGACTCCTAGCTGACTCTCTCAGATGCTGTAAATCACACAGGAGGGGATTGCCCATCCTCCTTCAGAGAAGCTGGTGGGTTTGAACCACTTACCTTTGGCAGTGCAGGTCTTTACTAGCTAGGCTACCTGAGCTCCCTTTCTTTCACACGCATGTTGTTGTGTACGGTAGAGTTGGAACTGACTCACAGCTGCCCCTCCAGTGGGTTTCCAGAGGCCTAAATTGCACAAGATTGTTCATCTTTTTTCCAGTGAAAGCAGCTGGTGGATTTGAACTGCATAACCTTGTGTTAGCAGCACAACTCCTTACCACTAACTAGACCCCTAGCACT